CTGTGCGGATTACCTCGATGTTGCCATAAGTCACAAGCTTTTAAGCAAAGATGAATAGTGGCTAGATACAAGCAAACAACACCATATGAATTTAAACTATAATGAATTAATATTAGAGATTCTTCAATTATAAATCAAATAGTTCAGTATCTTAAGGTAGGAAATGAAAAACTATCTGAGTTATTACACAAATTGATTACATTGATCAATCTACTAAATATGTGATGGAATAAAATAACCTTCCAATCCTTCTTATATCTTGTTCTGTTTCAATTATTAATATACAATTACTATGTGTTCGATTATAATCATTTATTATATGCAATGAATTTGTGAACTCATATCAAACAATCGTTATGTATTTTAGGTCCCATCAATAATAATGAATTAAAAAATAATTTCACTGGTTGAGATCATGAGTTAGCGGAAGCTAGACCACCATCAAAAACCTGGGATCACTGAACGGCCGTTTCATCCTAGTATGAGAGTCCTCAGCAGCGCGTATTCCCGATCCTTCCTAGCGAGATTCGAACCAAGGAACTATCAGTCTTGCGCGCGAGTTCTTAACCTGTAGACCACTGAGCCGGCATCTAACGGTGTTAATGGTCACTGCCTCTTACTAGAACTCCAGGAAATACCTCTTCAAGCCAGTCACTAGTGAGCAGATGATTAATATCAGAAGGTGTTTGTGTTCTAGTTGGTTAAGCGCTTGGCGTGAGACTGATAGGTCCTGGGTTCGAATCTCGTGGGGTGCGGGATCGTGGATGTGCAGTAGTAAAAATTCCCATACTAGGACGAAACGGCCGTCCAGTGCTTCCATGTTTTCCATGGTGGTCTAGCTTCAATTGACTCATGGTTTCAATCAGTGAAATTTCTAAAAATCTCCAGAGACCCCTTTTGATAACTTAATAATGATCAAAATTTCATTTCTTTTGTGAATACTTAAATGTCAAATCAAATATAATATTGTATTAAGCATCATATAAGATCAAATGGCCATAATAATAAACTCACATAGTGATATTGTTTCTTTGTCAGCTTCATAATCATTCATAGATTATGGAATATTCAATGATGACAAAAGTTACATTTAATACTGTAGAATCATACATCCGACAATATACATGTTTATTTAAACATTCTAAACATTAGTTAGTTACTAACAAACAATCAGTTTGTAGTTAAATACATAACACAATCTAGTTGAACAAGTTTAATACATAGATAGATATAAAACAGAAAAAGAAAAACGGATACCGCTTGTCATGTTATTGTTAAAATGTAATTCCGTTTCCCATTTGTATAGGACTCTTAAAGATAGTAATTAATGATTTAGATCAACATGATTCATGGACTATCTTTCAGAAAAGAAAAGAAAAAGAATTCGAAAAGTTATAAAAGAATGAAATCAAACTTATTACTTCAAATAATTAGTTATTTATGTAGGATTGTAACACTTCAAACTTACTATATTTATATATATTGCTGATTAATCAGTGACCGATAATGTCACTGTGGTCGCTATTCGATATAATCCTGAAACTTTGTATACAATTTGTCCTCATAACTGTCACTAGATGACGCCTCGACGGTGTATTAATCAGATGGCGAATACGAAGTGTTGATTACGTTCATTATTGCACTACGCACAGAGAATCAAAATTACAGGTATGCTAAGCAAGCATGAAAGAGTAGTGCCAAAATGCAAACAGGAAAGCGAGTGAGCGTGCGAGTCGAATGAGTGAGTTCAAATGAATAGGATTAAAATGAACATAGATATTACACAGGGAAATAAGTGAATCATCGAATCAATTAAAAGCGACTAACAGTAAGGCTAGCAGAATAAATATATGCGTAGGCAGTACGCAATACTGAAGCATACATATTCATACAACTGCAACTACAACAAAGGTACAATGATATAAGTTTTTATTGTACAAATGACTCTGTCCGTTAAGTAAGTTAACAAAAGGGCTTAACCAAGTTAAATGTGAACAAAATCAATCGCACATGAGTCGCTATATTAGTACTTAAGTTTTAATCTACATAATATTGTGCCAATGTACTATTGTAGGGAACATAAACACAGGTGACGACAACCGAATTTATTTGAGAACAAAATTGCAGAACATCTCACAGAAATCTGAGAACCATACAGTAAATACTTCATTTACAAACTATCTATCAGTTGTCTCAAACTTGACTGTTACTTTCGCAAATTACAGTCCATCGTCTCAGATTTCATTCTTCATGCATTTTCATATCAACTGCTCACCGTTACCGTTCTTTCCCTCTCGATCTCCTACTTCAATACATTCTATGTCTGACCATCGTTATATACTAATGTGGATATAAGTAACTCACACCACAATATTACCGAACAAAGAAGTAATGTAAATCTCAACGGACAAATCTATTAATATCATACTTTTAATATTTCATTCGTAAAATATCTATCAATTATCTCACACTTCATTGTTCCTTCATTTCCATACTAATTGCTCTCTGTTCCCATTCCTTTCTATTCGATCTTCTCAACCTTCCGAAACCAGACATTTCACTTTCGATTTGTGTTACATACTACTTAATTATATCTGTCGAAATAAGTAGCACGCATCACATGGTCACAAGGTACAGTTCATTAAAGAACAGTATTTCTGTTTTAAACATTTCTATTTTGATCTTACTTTATTTATTAGTTATAACTTATGGCCTTGTGCCCTATTAATATATGATGTAAAGATACCGCTAATTAGAGAACAGTGATTTGTCGACAGTAAAAATGAGGCGTGTGTGGGGCCCGTAATTTTGTCCTCATTAAGACCGTATGATGTTCGTCCGAAGAGCTCTCCACTTTAGTGTCCAGAGATCTGACCTCAAGGAGATTGTAATGATGATTGTTGTTGAAATATATATGTCGCCTACCCTCGTATATATTAATCATCGACTTAAATCGCGTTAGTCAACAACGGAATTAAATTTGTCAAATAACGAAAATGGACTTGTGAATACATATACTTTGAATATGGAAGTGAATGAGATAGAAATGAGAGAAACGACGTGCAGTGCAGATGGCGGGTAAGCCAACTCCCATTTAACCAAGCCTTAATCAATATTTATAGTTACACAAATGTAAGTTACAGACATGTGATGAGTAATGGGATAAGAAATATACACACACCTACATGCTCATATAAAAAGTCAAGATTGATAAGCGAATAATTAACAAGGTCAGAATGTGACTCAAGTAGAATGAATAGAATGGGCTGTCCGGAAGCTAGAATAAGTTATATGGGCTTAACATAATAACCGACACTACACGTGAACCCGTAAGAGAGGTCTACAGTCTTTATCTGTCCTTCTTCCTGCCTAGCTCCGCCTGTTAAACCCACAACACAAATCTCAGCCGCTGCGATATGAATCATGGATTTCGAACATACTGGTATTATATACAAACCGGACAGACCACATTGCACCACAAAATCTAGAAAACAACATTTGTACAAGAATTAGCCCAAAGTGGCTGTGAATGTGGGAGGTAGTAATTGATAGACTGGGCATAACTCATGAAGGTGAAAATCACTAGTTGCTTTATACGCTTTACAATGTTTAAAATTATTACCGAATTAATATGAGAATGAACTTTATTATCCATTGATGTTAAACATTCTGTTTTAGATATGCATTACTTTGTGACGTTATATCGAATATTTAGAAGAAGGTAATTTTCATATTTTGTAACATCTGTCAGCTTAAATATTTCCATGCATTACATTACAGAATGAAAATATACTGTACCAGACCACATCTTTGTCTGGTGCTGAGCAAAATCACCAAGATAGATAATTTCATATATGTTAGTGATCGAAATGATCATGTAAGTCATTATTAAATCTCATCGGGACAAGTCTTATATATTACTCTACAGTATTTACTTACGCATGTTACTCTTCATGGAGGAGTGTAGGCCACTCACCAGCATTCTCCATCCAACCCTGACCTGGGAAATACTTTCCAGTTGTTATTCATGCTTCTCATATTTGCTTCTCTTTCCCAACGTAATGTGTTCTCTAACCTTCCACTTTCCCGTTTCCCTTCAGGATTACAAGTTAGCACTTGTCTCGTGATGCAGTTCGATGATTTCCGTAATGTATGCAATATCCATTTCCATCATATTTTCCTAATTTCCCCTTCAACTCGAAGCTGGTTTGTTCTCTCTCACAGAAGTCTGTTGCTGATGGTATCCGGTCAATAGATGTTGAGTATCTTGTGTAGACAACTGATTATAAATACTTGTACCTTCACGATGATGTTTGTAGTAGTTATCAACGTCTGCGCTCCGTACAGTAGAAGTGTCTTGATGTTCGTATTAAAGATTGTGACTTAGATGTTGTTTGAAAGACAGTTGTTTTGAGTTTCATATGTTCTTCCATTGTAGGAATGTATCCCTTGCTTTGCCAATCCTGTTATTTAAGTGTGTGTCTGATCCTCCATTTCATCGATTATGCTTCCCATGTACGTGAAGGATTCTAAATTTTGCAGAGTTTCACCATCAAGTGTGATTGGGTTAGTTTTTTCCGTGTTGTGTTTGTATATCTTTGTTTTCCCTTTTGTGTATGTTGAGGCCAACTATTGCAAAGGTTTCTACTACACAAGTTGTCTTCATCTACATTTGTTCGTGTATATGAGATAGAAAGGCTAGGTGATCTGTAAAGTTTAAATAGTCTAATTGGTTCTGAGTTGTCCAATTTTCTAATATCAAAACTTGTAAATACTTTCCAACTGCTTTTGTTGTATACTAATATCACTTACAAATCAATAAAGATACCTTTTTACAATAAGTAAGTATTAATATTAGATTTTTCACATTATCCATTATCATTAAAACATAGAATTACTACTGATAAAACAAGAAAAAAAATTAAAATATTTCTCTTTCAATCATTTAAACAGTAGGCTAAACTATTCACATTCATAATAATATAAATCAACAAACTAATATGATAGAAGAAAAAGAAGAACAAAAACAAGAACAAGAAGAACAACAATTAGAAGAAGAACAAGAAGAAGAAGAACAAGAAGAAGAAAAAGAAGAACAAGAGGAAGAAGAAGAAGAGGAAAAAGAAGAAGAAGAAGAGGAAGAGGAAGAAGAAGGAAAAACCTCTTTTACTTTTGTTGTGAAGTTAACTATAGAAGGAAATCATTACAACATACCTATTAGGCAATCAATTTGAAAGTTGACAACATAATTTATTTGTATATATCAATTAATATTGAGTTGGGAACCATTTGAAAATATTGATTTCTGAATAGTTGATTTAGGTAATGTTGAATATGTTTCGAACTCCTGTAAGATCATCTTGTGGAACTAGTTGATCAAGTGTTTCAAAGATGACAACCGTTGAATCAGGTTGAAGGACACGGTAAGTTTGAACTTGTCATTATTCCACACTTATAATCTCTGAAACAATCAAACTTGAAACTTTTAAGAACAACCTTTCAGAACCAAATAATCAACACTTTCAACCTCAATTAGCTTGCAATATCGTCTGCTTCTGATGATTTTAAACCTGGAAAAAGTATAGCTGTCCGATCGGACTTCAGATTGTGGAGATTGTGGAATTAAATGACGTCTCATTGTGAATGTAGAGTTCCATTAACCTATCAATCTTAGACCACCATTGAAAAGTTGGAAGCACTAGTCAACCCTTTTGAGAAGTATGGGACTCCTCAGCAATAAACATCAACAATCCCGAACACAGGATCTTCGGTCAGGCACACGAACGCTTAATATCTAGAACACTGAATCCCATGCAACGGCGTTAATACTTAACCTCAATCAATTAACGACAGTGAGCGATCAATCTGCATTGTCTTCGGTTAGTAACTGACGCACATCCAACACGGAACAGCTCCACTAGTTACGTCTTCTCACTAAAACTTGGGGAATTTCCTCTCGATACTAGTGATTACATAATAGTTTTCAGTATTGAGTTATAGAGATTGTTGAATTTCACTGATACTATAGACATTAGCACAGTTGGATTCCGAGTTGTCCAGAGTTTAAGCGTTCGTACACAAGATCCGAGGTCCTGGGTTCAAGTCTCGTGTGCGTGAGCGTGGATGATTACAATGATTTTCAGGAATTATTAGGACAGCTATTCACTGACAACAACAAAAAATGGTTGCACATTACTATGGGTGAAGAAGTATATCATTAGATAGCAGGTGATTGGTCAGCGAGTTAAAAGCTTAATATGAAAATTCACGTTCTTGTATTCGAACAATGATCTTTGTCTCCTTACATCACGTTCGTCAACCTTCCACTGCCTCTGCATATAAACTTTAAGAAGTCAATAAAAACCATTGTACAATATGTCCTTTGACGTCACATAGGAGACAAACAGGACCTGATTCATCCTTTAATAAAATAAATGACTCAACCAAAAACAATTCCATAATCATTAAGAATAAATTCCTTTAGGCTCCATACATTTACCACTTTCATTCTAGCACTATTGATCAATATTCAGCTGACATTTTTTATTTTAATGGATTTGTCCCCAGTTGTTATTATCTTTAACATCATGTTTACCATAGGTTAAAATCCATGACAGTATACGGTCTTACCCATTAAATAACTAAGCAGATAAATGATAAATGATTGACTATATTATGTAAAACTTAACAACAATGGTTAAACTATGAAAAGCAAAGATGGATAGTAGATTGCAGTGGAATCCAAGACGTGCGTTTCGTTCTGCTTAGCACTTGTTAGCTGAATGTACCTGCATCTCAGAGTTGATATTCACTTCGGGACTCAAGCCCAGTACGCTACCGCGTTATCTACTTAACTACTGAGTCCTGATAGTCACCTGCTTATGCAATGAGGTGAATATCAATACTGAGATTCAGGTACATTCAGTTGACGAGTCTCAAATAGGATGAAACTCGCGTCAAACTGCATTACACTGCTAGCCACTATCCATCTTTACTTATAACGCTTATGAATTAAGGCAATATCGAACGAATACGCACAGTATTCACATATGCCAATAAGTTAGAGACTGAACAATTTCAGTTCTCAACATTTATGGGAAGATTCAAACAAACAATATCAAATGAATAATTAAACTATTTCATTTGTGAAAAGGTAACATTTTTCTCTTATTGAATAGCTAAACTGATTATTAACACCGTTTATGTTATCCATTTAGTTAACACTAATTCTGACAATCATGTCAATTCATGTTAACACAAGTCGGCAAATTTATTATGATGCATATTTAATAATAACTGAACTAATTGACACATGTTGATTGACTCAATGGAATGAAGTTAAAAGAGGTTTCTCTTTTTATTTGAAAAAGATGTTAAGTTTAATAGAATTCAATTATAGAAATTGACAATTGATAGTACTTAAGTATGTTTTTATTACGTTAAAACAACGGTCGTATAGTAATTTCAATAATCAAAAAGGGGTTTTTGTGAATTAATTGAAGTTAGACGTTAACACCGATGGATGCCGGTTAAGTGGTTTAGTCACGCGTGAGATTGATAGGCCGTCGGTTCGAATCTCACAGGGAGCGAGATCGTGAATGCGCAGTGCTGAGAAATCATATACTAGGACGAAACGGCCATCCAATGCTTCAACGTTTTTGATGTTGCTCTAGCTTCAATTGACTCATGATTTCAACTATTGAAGTTTCAATTGTATTTGTAACTATGATGTGTAATTATCTTGAATAATGTTTGTTATTAATGTTTCACAGTTAAATTCATTTGGTTGATGTAAGTTAGATAATCATTGGAAACTTAGAAGTATAATTATAAATTGTAGTCTTCCGAAATTTTTACACCTTTGACAGTTAATGTAATAATGATTATCAGGACGAGTGAAATATGAAGCCTTTGTAATTATTTCGAAAATAATCCACTACAATAGAATATAATAGTAAACAATGTACATCATTTTTCTGGTTAACGGTTTTTTAGCGAGTTAGTTTTCTACGGGATGGGGTTGCTAACCCCAACAAATACAAATACAACACGGAGAACACCAACCCAATCACACTTGATGGCGAAACTGGAAGATTTAGAATCCTTCATTAATGAACAAATAGGATCGAATACAAATGTGAAGGAGAGAGGATTAGCGAAGCAAGGGTTACATTCCTACAATAGAAGAACATATGGAACTCAAAACAACTGTCTTTCAAACAACATCAAAGTCACAATCCTCAATACGAACGTCAAGACACTTCTACTATACGAAGCTGAAACTTGGACAACTACTACAACCATCATCTTCTGGTCATTGATCGGATTATGAAGAACTCTACATCTCAATGGAAACATTGCATATGACCTAACTTTTCTATCCCATATACATTAACAAATGCAAGTCAATATGATCAGTGCGGCAGAAGCCTCTGCGTCAGTAGGCCTCAACATCCACAAGGTAAAAATTAACATCCTCAAATACAATACGAAAACTACCAACTCAATCACACTTGATGGAAAAACTCTGGAAGAGATGGAAACTTCCACTTACGTAGACAGAATCATCGATCGACCGAACGATCTGATGCAGACGTAATGGCGAGGATTGACAAAACAAGGATAACGCTCCTACAGTTGAAGAACAGACGAAACTCAAGACAACTGCCAACCAAAACCAAAGTCAGAATCTTCAATACGATCGTGAAGACAGTCCTACCGTGTGAAGCCGAAACTTGAAGAACTACTACTACAATCATGAAGAAGGTACAAATATATATATATATATATATATATATATATATATATATATATATATATATATATATATATACAAATACTCAACATCGATTGACCGGATACCGTCAGCAACAGCCTTCTGTGGGAGAGAATATACTAGCTTCCATTTGAAGAGGAAATTAGGAAATGATGATGGAAATGTATATAACATACATTACAGAAATCATCGGACTGCATCATGAGACAAGTGCTAACTTGTAATCCTGAAGGGAAACGGAAAAGTGCTCGGTCAACTAATACAATACATTGGGAAATAGACTCAGATATGAGAAGGATGAATAACAAATGGCAAGAACTGGAACAGATTTCCTAGGACAGAGTTGGTTGGAGAAGGCTGGTGAGTGGCCTCCTCCACGAGAAGTAACAGGCGTAAGTAAGTAATGGATATACATCATACTATTTACAAGGTTGAACTTCTAATAATTTTTCCCGACGTCTGCACGTAATTATTACCAAAGTTTTAGCAATTGTGTGCATATTTTTGTGAGGTCCCTTTTTTATCGAATGAGGTTGCTAATCTTACTTTAAATTCACTTTTTTCTTTAAATCCTCATATGGAACCTCCAGTAACCCTAGAAGGGTTTCATATGTGTTGAGTCGGTTTTACGAGAACTGCAACGGAGCCTCCAGAAGCCCTAGAGAAGCCGAAGAGTCCTGGCCAATCAGAGCATGATGGAGCTTTCTAGAATGTCAACGTGACGTGCTACTATTGGTCACTAGCATAATATGTCTTTTAGTGGATTGGCTAAAATATAATGTTGATTTAACAAATGTTAGCATTCTGTACAAAAAAGAACCTTGGAGTAAAGTATTTTCTCGCATACTATACGTCTTCTCTCTTGTGTTTAGGTTGCTGTATAGTTCTAGCTTGCTGGTTACAGAATAGCTTAGGAAACTAATAGCGTTCAATTCGCAAGACTTATCAATATGGATGTGTGAACTGTAAGTGCAAACCACTTACATCGACATTTAAATTTATGGCATAAAATAAATATCAACGTCAAACCAGTAATATACATATAATATTGTTATGTAATGCATTTCCTTAACATCATACGATGTAAATGTTCTATAGTTTAGTGTTACTAATTATGTTTATTTACTTTCTTTTTAAAGAACAAGTCTTTCAATCTGACACGTAGTCAATCATTTGATTGAAATCATGATATACGAATTATAAATAACTCTAGTGTACAGTTTTGTTTACGTCATTTGTTATAACGTCCACTAACTATTGTTGTTAGAAGGAAACTGATTTTCTTTGCTTGTACGTTTGTATGTGTATGTGTGTGTGTGTGCATGTATTATTCATGCAAAAAACCTACAGTGAACGGATAACAAGTAATAGAATAACTACTCTATGAATAGAGTAGTTCTGTCTAGCAACATTATATCAAACTATGTTCATGGAAGTGACATGATAAAGATCGATCAT